GGCAGGGTGCTACAACCTGTAATCCTAGCAACTCTGGGAGGCCAGGTGGGAGGATCCTGAGGTCAGGAGTTTGGAGACAGCTGACAAGAGTGAGGCTTGTCTATAAAGTATAAATAAAATTAGCATGTGTGGTGGTACGTGCCTGTAGTCCTAGCTACTTTGGAAGTTGAGACAGAGGATAGCTTAAGCCAGGATGTTTGAGGTTCAGATGGAGTATGCTCTGCCAAGACACTCAAGGCCTGGGCACAGAGCAAGACTCAGTCTCAAAAAAAGCATTTGATGTAACACATTTAACGGTTACTAGGTCGTTTCATGACTTATATATTTTTGTAATAAAACTTATCTCTATTTCTATTTGCTAGCATTTCTCATTGCCAATTATATTCAAAATACTTGTTCGCCCAGCAATTATTGTTAGGTTTCAGACAGGAAAAAAATGGTTCTATGTTAAATAAGGTAAAGAGGAAACAGGATAAGCTAGGCCCTGAACAGTTTACTTTCAATTAAAGTACTTATCAAATTGTTCTTGAAAAACAAAGTAGTGCATAGAATTTTCATTTCTGTCAGTTTATATTGTTCGCTTTAGTATTTCTGTTTGTAGTATTTTAGTTTGGTATCTCTCACAGGAAGTTTTATGGGTTCATTCCTGGTTTGGAATGTATCTGGTTTTTGCCCCCCTATGTTACCTTAATATTTCACTGCATAAACATGGAATTAGGGTATTATGCTGGGTAGGTGTAAACTTAGATGTTATAATAAACGTAACGCTTTGAAAACTGGTGGTGAAAGGGATGGGCTTCGGATGGCATGACACAGTCTTGAATTGCAGAGAAAGTGTAGTGGAAGAAGAATGGGGGATTACTGGGTTCTGCACAGTATGTGGTTTCAATTCTGACTTTTGCTACTTACTAGCCATGTGTCCTATTATGAGTTGTTAAGACCTGACAGGAGTGGTCGATTTCACATCTGGATGAAAAGGACAAAGAGTCTTATCTTGCTTATGATATTTTCACAGGATGTAGGACTGAATTAAGCATGTCAGATGCTAAGCACAATGCCTATTGTTTTAGAAACATTCGAAGATTTTTATGTTTTATGTCTTTCTCATTTCGTGTGCTTGAAATGCGATCATGTGTAGGTAATTTCATAGTAATTGCTCTTCAATTTCCATGCCGTTTTTTAACATTTTAAAAGAAAAAATAGTTGGGGAAAAATTTCTTTCCTTTGTAGGTCTACTGTTTCTCTAAGATAGTATTTTTTTTAATTGTAAAGTATTGACTGTGGTTAGCAACCATGGTTTAGCCAGATCATTAATTTATTTCAGTTGCGACAGCCCCGACCTTGGTTTTTTTAATTTCTGTAAAATGGCAATCGGTGTTCATGTCCTCATGGAGTTTTGTGAGGTTTTAAATATAGGTAAATCTTTAGCTGTTATATGAAAATGGTTAATGCCAGTACTACCCATACTTGTTTTCAGCAATGTGTTTATTTACTGGGGATGAAAGACTTAGTTGACTAAACTGTATATGTAATGTATTGAAATGTGCTTTGTTAAACTACGATAAGTAATACGTGTAAGCGTCATCCTTCCGCACCTCCCACCCCCTTTTTGAGAGAGGGGACTCACGTCTGGTTGGCCTAATCAAGATGTGCAGTTGGCATCATTACTGCGCACCTCAACATCTGGGCTCAGAATCCTCCGCCTCAGCCTCAAGTAGCTGAAACTACCAGCATGCACGCACTCAGCTTCATTTTTCTATATTTTTGGTATGTGACAGAGTCTCCGCTGTGGTGCTCAGGCTGTCTCAACTCTTAACTCCAAACAGTCCTCCCATCTTCAGCCTCGAAGTGGTAGGATTACTAGGCATGAACCACTGTGTAGCCATCTCCCTCTTTTCTAAATAAAAGGGAATATTAGTAACATTTGTGTGCATTTATAAATCATGACAATGAATTGCCCTCAATTTCTGATTATAATATGCAGGAGATGGGGAGAGAAACTGGATGTGTTTCTTGTCATATCACAATTCTTCGACACTGTTTACATTGTATAAGTACATTTTCAAGTACTGATAGATTTAGTCTAAGAAATAATCGCCTAATCTTTACCAGCAATTATGTAATCTGGAACTTACCTTTCAGGATGCCTGAATGGTTTCCTAGAGTCTGTTAACTATGTTTAAGCCCTTGGGTTCTCTATCAGGCTCTTAAATTGGATTTTTTTCTCTTCTAGGGTTATCAGTTATGTTTTCCATCAAAATGCCAATGTGAATTTAATGTTAGAAGCAGGTGAAGGGATCCCATCACACTCCCCGTTACTATTAGCTTCCCAAGTCATCAGTCAGGGAGAACCAGGCCAGTCGATTTATCAGGGTGAAGCATCACATCTTGATTTCACCTCTTCATTCTCTTCCTCAGTCATCTGTGCCCTGCTGCGTAAGCCAAGATTTCTGACACGGAATTAGAATCTCTGGCCTGAAGTGGCTTGGGGCGGACCAAAATAAGGCATTCATAGCAATCGGGTTCATGTGGTCTGCATGGTGCACCCTGTCACTGTTGGTTGCCCTGAGTCGGGTAATGTTAAAGAAGTAAGGAGTCTGGAGCTTCGGGCCAGAGCAGCCTCCAGCTAATTGATTCCAGCCCGGGAGGCTCAGCTCTGAGAGGACAGTCGACCTCTCTTTTTCCATCATTGTCTGCTTTACTGTTTACTACCGCAGGCACATCTGCCTCTTCTTTCTCTTTTTCTTTTGTTTTCTCTCTGCTCTACGTCTCTTTGCATGTTGCTTGTAACTTTTTCTTTGATCTCTTCTCACTTTCTGTTCCTCTCCCCCCTACAGAATAATGTTCCTGAAGGGAAAGAATTAAGTTGCTTTTTCTTACTTCTTTTAGCAATAATGAGTAGACCACTTTTTCCCTCCATGAGTCATCATTTCACTTAAAAGTCTCATGTCTTAGCTTTATTAGCCAAGTACATGGCTTGGGCTGTGTCAACAGTTTTTTTTTCCCCTCCTTTACTGAATATTTTGGCTGCAGTTGGAAGTGCGTTGCAGAGAAGAGGTACGTGCTGTACATACGCTGCAGGTGAGTGCACAGTTGTAGGTATTGTTCAAGACTTGGTGGTATGGCGGATGGGATGTGCATCTTGTCAGCTGGCAGCAAATGCGTGTCTTACTAGGATTTTAAAAATTAAATAACTAAGGGTGTTTTAAGTGGAACACTGTTGTTTGGTTTTCTCTTCAGATTCATATCACCAATTGCCAGTAATGTTGTACTGGAATGGTACAGATAAGACTTAGCACCCAAAATGAATTAAGTCTAGGGCATTGTAGGTATTCTTCTTGTGATAAAGTTTGGAAACGTAATCTTACAAAACTTAGCAGTAGCAGCATTTCACTGGAGCTATTATGAGGCAGTACTGTGTCTTACCAATTGTTTATATTTACCACAAAGGCGATATATTAATATATTTACATGCTTAATATGAAAATTAGAGTAAATAGTCAAAAGGTCTATGAAGATGTAACATTTTGCTTTTCCCTGGGAGGACTCAGCTACTACAGCAGTGCTCTCAAAAACTATGCATAGGAAGGCACTTAGTTTTCTACTTAAGACTGGTTATGTCTTTGCTTCTTCATCTAACTGAGAGACAACTGCTTATATGTGGGGTAGCTGTTTAATATGTTACATCTGTTAAATAGAGGAGTAGTGTTTTGGAGGACAAAGTCACGTCACTATATGTAAATGGTGGATGATGTTTGTTCTTATATCTCACTTAGTGGATGAACTGGGGGAGAGCAATTCCAGGTCCTCCGTGTCTTACTGCAGCACATCTGGTGCCAACGGTACCATTTGCTTCAGGTAATAACAACACAAAAGTATGTGGATCTGCGTAAAGATGAATGTGGTGTTGGTGTGTGGTGATGTCTTGGAATGATCTATATCATGTACCAGAAAAGTAGTCTTATTTAAATATTCGCTGGATGTTCCCCAGATAAGAGGGTTCTGTTAAAAAATTAGCTTATTTATTTTGGAATGTCAACAACACAGCGAAACGGAGGAATTGAAGGAGGCTCAACCGACTACATATCCTCACCTGTCTTCAAACAATTCTGTGTCATTTACACCCCTACTTCACTTCCCTTAACACATGTATGAATTGGATTTTTTTCTGGATCATCTCGGAGGAATGGATAGATTGTTTTTGAGCAAATTTTCATCATTTCCTGTTCATACGTTAATCATTATTATATTGTTTCTCTAAAGAATAAAAACTCTTGAAAAACATGGCCACAAAATTTAACAACTAAGAATTATACAGGCAATCTTTAATTTTATAACTATCCAGTCTGTGTTAATTTCCTAATTTCTTAAGTTTTTGTAACCGTTTTAATTCTTTTTTTTTTTTTTTTTGAGACAGAGTCTCGCTTTGTTTCCAGGCTAGAGTGAGTGCCGGTAGTCAAGCCTAGCTCACAGCAACCTCAAACTTCCTGGCTCAGCGATCCTTCTGCCTCAGCTCCCGAGTAGCTGGGACTACAGGCATGAGCCACATGCCCGGCTAATTTTTTTTTTATATATTATCAGTTGGCCAATTAATTTCTTTCTATTTATAGTAGAGACGGGGTCTCGCTCTTGCTCAGGCTGGTTTTGAACTCCTGACCTTGAGCAATCCACCCGCCTCAGCCTCCCAAGAGCTAGGATTACAGGCGTGAGCCACCACGCCCGGCCCGTTTTAATTCTTGAGACCTGTGGACACTATGGATCCATAACTCTGAAATTGTATGCTAAACTTGTATGTGCATTTTTCTGGGGAGAATGCTTATAGATTTCTTACAAGTTAATTTTTAAAGTGGTCTAAAACCTAAAATGTATTAGACATTTGCCTAATATTTAAAAATCATTGAACTAGTAATGCTCACTAATTTTCAATTTGTATTGTAACATGTTTCAGTTGTCCTGCAGGTGGATATTAGCTTGGCATCTTCTCTATTTTTGTGTTCTAGGTGATAGATAAATCAGAGTATCGGACCTCTGCAGCACAGGCCCTGGTCCAGCTGCTCAGTAAACTTCCCTGTGGGGAGTACGCTACATTCATTGCCTGGCTTTATAAATATTCACGAAGTTCCAAGGTACGAGATATATCTGCTTAAAGTCTTGGGTCCTAGCTCTGCAAACTTCGAATAGCAGTCAGTTCTGAATGAGGAAAAAGGTTTCTTTGATTCTAATTCCCATCCAAGTACTAACCAGGCCCGACCCTGCTTAGCTTCCGAGATCAAACGAGATCGGGCGCGTTCAGGGTGGTATGGCCGTAGACTGATTCTTATTCCTATCTGATGGTGATTCTTATGATTTTGTTTTACCAGATCCCACACCGAGTTTTTACTCTTGATGTGGTCTTAGCTCTGTTAGAACTGCCTGAAAGAGAGGTGGATAACACTCTCTCCTTGGAGCATCAGAAGTTCGTAAAGCATAAGTTCTTGGTGCAGGACATTATGTTTGACCGTTGTTTAGACAAGGCACCTACTGTCCGCAGCAAGGCATTGTCCAGCTTTGCGCATTGTCTGGAACTGACTGTTAGCAATGCATCGGAGAGTATACTGGAACTCCTAATTAACAGTAAGTATTGTGACTATTGTGAAATGAAACTGGTCTTGTATTTATCAAGAAATAGACTGTGAGGGAATCATTCTTTGTTGTGGCAAAAATAATAGATCTGACCTATTTTTACCCTCAAACTATTTTCAGTATGTTTTATTGTCAAATAACTTTTTTTTTTTTTTTTTTTTTTTCGGCTGGAGGGTTGGTGGGGCAGTTGGTCTGCTCCGGTGGTTTTTTCCCTTTTTATGTGCTCTACTTGCCTCTTGTGCGTACCCCTGGCTTCTTCTTTGCTTTCCTCGTTAGGCCCTGGTCTGTTTTGTGGTTTTGGGTGGTTTTTTCGTCGCCCTTTTGTTGGTTCTTCCTGGGGCGGTGTTTTTGGCTTCTTGTGTGTTTTCTCATGTTGTCAGTTCCTCGGAGGGGTCTTGTTTCTCGTTCGATCGGTGTTCGTGGGGGTCCTGCCTGTTAGACCCCTTCCAGGTCTGCCCGGTTTTCTCTGTTTGCTTGCGTCTTCCTTCTGTCTGCTTCTGCTTCTGGTGTGGTGCTTGTCTTTTTGAGCCTGTCTCGGGTCGGTGTCGGCCCTGCCAGTGTCGTCCGGCGGCCCTCGTCTTCTCTTCTTTGGTGGGGAGCTTTATCGTGTGTCTTGTTCCTGTCTCTTCTGGGGCCGGGCCGTGCTCTCGGGTCGCCGCCTGCGGCGGCCGTTCTCTGTTGCCCTAGCCCGCTGCGCACTTGTTCCAGCTTCATTGGGGAGGCTGAGGCAGAAGGATTGCTTGAGCCAGGAGATTGAGGTTGCTGTGAGCTAGGCTGATGCTACGGCACTCACTCTAGCCTGGGGCAACAAAGCGAGACGTTCTTGTCTC